GCACTGAATGGCACCTGAAGAATGGTCCATGGGTGGATGAGAGCAGATCAAAGACTGCTAGGTGATTAGCAGTGTGTTAGCCCAGGTCCTCCTTCACAGCCTCATTCAGGGGTCTTCAATGCTCCCCCTCTCACATTAACCCCACCTACTTCAGAAGACAGGTATGACACAGGTAATTTCCTACAACAATTGCAGCAGCATCTCTACTGGAACACATAAGCTCTTGACCTGGCAGTGGTCCAAAGAGATGTTGAGCTGGGGAGGAACATCTCCGTCTTCGGCCTGATATTCTGGATAGAAATAAAGTAAAGAAAGTGAGCAAAAGGGAAGTAGAGACAAAAACATATCTCTAGAGCAAGACCACCCACTGCCCCTCACCTGGTTTCACCAACAGGAGATCTACCTGCCAGAGTGGACCTTGGGGGCTAGAGTGGATCTCAGGGACTTTGAAAGATTACCTACCACCCATCTACCCTCACCACAACTCTGGACTCTTCACTAGTGGTTTTTGGAACAGAGAAACTCAGTTTGAGTTTCAGTTCTGCCATTTCCTAGCTATGTGATCAGGGGCAGAAATTTACCCTCTTCTTCACTTGTAGCATGATATCATGTTGCTTACGTCATGAGGCTGTTCTGAGTCATTGGAGACCATAGACATATATTCTTCTCCCTGCAAACTCAAAGTCCTTTGAAATAATAATAATAATGAGTAATTATTGTGATTAACACTTAATGGCATTGACCAAAGAGTCACACAAAGACAATGGAGGGTTGCAAAAAGAGCTGGACCTGGGTGAGGTCAATCACTGAAGCAAGAGGGCTTTCAGCTAGCTCTGAGGAAGGACACCTAATTGGAATTGGGACTATGACTCCGCTCTGGCACTGCGCCAGTTACTTGAGGGGGAACTTCTAGAAGATGACACAACTACTGTCAAGGTTACTTGTTCCTTTCTTACTACCAATAGCACATTTAAAGAGCAGTCAGGAGTGGAGGAATCTAATACCCGACATGCTTCTAGACAATTTGTTTTTGGTGTTCAATGCCATTAGTAGGGTAATCAACACGGATTTTAAAAATATGCAAATCGGGTAGAGAGGGAGGTGGGAGGGGGGATCGGGATGGGGAACACATGTAAATCCATGGCTGATTCATGTCAATGTATGACAAAAACCACTACAATATTGTAAAGTAATTAGCCTCCAACTAACAAAAATAAATGGAAAAAAAAAGTCAAAAAGATTTTTTTAAAAAGTATGCAAATCTGGGAATTTCTTAATGTAGATATCACCATCTTCTTTCATTAAAACCATAAGTAAAATCTGTGTCTCAGGGAGATGAAATGATTTATCAAAGACCAGAAAATATAGTGAGTTACTGAAGCTAACCTTTCTCATTACTATCAAGTCATTTTCATTACACTGTTACCAACTAAAAGTTATTAAAAATTAGATAGCATATATTTATACTACTACTGGGACTTCCCTGGTGGCTCAGAGGGTAAAGCGTCTGCCTTCAGTGCAAGAGACCTGGGTTTGATCCCTGGGCAGGGAAGATCCCCTGGAGAAGGAAATGGCAACCCACTCCAGTATTCTTGCCTGGAAAACCCCATGGATGGAAAAAGCCTGGTGGGCTACAGTCCATGGACTCACAAAGAGTCAGGCACGACTGAGTGACTTCACTTCATACTACTAGTATCACTATTACCACATCTGACCTTCATTAAATGGTTACTCAGGCAGTCTTGGACAAAGAATTTAACAAATACATCTCTTTCATTCTCATCAATACTCTATGAGACTGATAGAGAAAGAGAAAAGCAACCTCTGAGTTCTAAGACCTGACCTGGTACCACAATGGCCCTTATGTTCTTCTGCTCAAGATAAACATTTTACAAAGCTTCATTCTGGTTTGGTGAAAGATCTAGACTAAAATAGGACATTGGATAATCATGCTTTAGCCCTGAACAAAGGAGCTACATTACACAAACTACCTATATGACCTAATACCCTCCTATCTTGAGTGACAGCTTTTCTTGAACAAGTACAGATCTAAACTTTATCTAGTCTTCCCTTCTTAGAGTTAAAATTAAGATACCAATCAGATAACCCTATATGCAAGACAGCAAAAGAGACAAAGATGTATAGAACAGTCTTTTGGACTCCATGGGAGAAGGCGAGGGTGGGATGACTTGGGAGAATGGCATTGAAACATGTATATTATCATATGTGAAATGGATCACCAGTTGAGGTTCGATGCATGGGACAGGGTGCTCGGGGCTGGTGCGCTGGGATGACCCAGAGGGATGGGATAGGGAGGGAGGTGGGAGAGGGGGTCAGGATGGGGAACACATGTAAATCCATGGCTGATTCATGTCAACGTATGGCAAAAACCACTACAATATTGTAAAGTAATTAGCCTCCAACTAATAAAAATAAATGGAAAAAAATAATAAATAAAATAAAATATAAAATCAAAATAAACAAATAAATGAATGTTCTACATATTTTGCTCCAAAAAAAAAAAAAAAAAGATACCAATCAGAGAACTACCCCACTTCCTAAACATCATCCTTCCAGAGCAAAGCCATCTTACTGATACCTTCCCCAAATTCAAATCACAGAAGCCCACATCTTGTAAGTTCCTTCGAACATTGTCTTAATATGACAGCATACTGTTTTCCAAGATGATTCTTGTTCTTTGCTGCTGTGAGTAGTAAATAAATCCAATGAGTTCAACTAGAAACAGGACTATTTCTAGTGGTCACTGGCTAGAAACATGAACAAGTACCAGCCTTATCCTTATTTTATAACTAAAGAACACAAAGTTCAGAGATGTTGAGAATTTGCCTAAGACTGGAAAGATATAAAAAATAACACCAGCACCCTATGTTTTCTCATCTATTTAAGTAATATACTTGTTTCGGTCCCCATGGTAAACTTTACTCATTTGTAGTGACACAGATATTGTTTCCAAAGTTGCCTCCATTCTAAATCTTCCCAGAAACAGAACAGGAAAGCATCATCAAAGTCCTTCTGCTTGGGAAAGTGGGGACCTGCATGTTAGGAAATGAATAGAGCAGCTAAGAGCCATCTCTATGACTGCATTTCCTCCCTTGAAGGATTCTTAGCATGATTAATAGAATAAGGCCAGCAAAATGCTCACACAGACTGGGACACTAAATGAGACTTGCCCTTCTTTACCAGAACTAAAAACCCCTCCCCACATGCGACATCAGAGAACAGGATTCCTTAGAAATTGGACAACTGAACCCCAAGCCCTTTCTCCTTCTGAGAGTCCAGGAGAACAAGCTGGCCTTAAATTTGAACTGAACTGAGAAGTAAGAAATGAAGTTTTCATGTGCAGGTGTGTGCCTCCCAGGTTTCTGTGTAGCTTGGGGTGACTACTAAGATGATGATGCTATAATGGGTTTGCTTCCTATACCTGGTAGGGTGCAGTCTCTGGACAGGAAAAAGGGAGGTACCCACTCCTCTGCAGAACAGTGAGAAGGATCACCATTTCCAGGGACTCTGCTAGTTAAGTTTTTTTTTTCCATTTATTTTTATTAGTTGGAGGCTAATTACTTTACAATATTGTAGTGGGTTTTGTCATACATTGACATGAATCAGCCATGGATTTACATGTATTCCCCATCCCAGTCCCCCCTCCCACCTCCCTCTCCACCCAATCCCTCTGGGTCTTCCCAGTGCACCAGCCCCTAGCACTTGTCTCATGCATCCAACGTAGGCTGGTGATCTGTTTCACCCTTGATAGTATACTTGTTTCAATGCTGTTCTCTCAAAACATCCCACCCTCGCTTTCTCCCACAGAGTCCAAAAGTCTGTTCTGTACATCTGTGTCCCTTTTTCTGTTTTGCACATACGGTTATCGTTACCATCTTTCTAAATTCCATATATATGTGTTAGTATACTTTGGTTAAGTTTTGTAGTTGCAAACAACAGACTCCACTTCAGTCAGTTTAACTTTTAATATGCATTTATTGAAATATAAGCCACAATGTTTGAAGCTACAGAAAGGAAAATCACAGCATCACTGTGGGGTCAAGAGGCTTCTTTATCCCAAACACTTCTCTCATTACTGACAATGAGAACTGAATGCTGGAAATTCCTCTTGGCCACCCAGAAGGAGAGCAGTGATTGTGGGGACAGGTTGAAGGTGAGGATGCCGTGAGGATGGAGGTAAAAACAAAAATCCTGTGTTACACCACAGCCTTGTACTTAATCTGGTCATGAGGAATGCGCTCTTACATTCCTTCCTTCTTTCCTCAAATAATTATAAACTGTCTCATTGGTGTCAGGAACTGTGTGAAGTGCTAGGAGCACACGGGAGACATCCTCTCATGGTCCTGAGAGCCAGCTGGATGAGACTTAGATATGTTGACCAATAGCGGAAAGGAAATAGGCAGGTTCTGCTAAGGAGGGTAGGAGACAGAAGTACTGTGAGAAGACTGAACTGTTTCGGAAGCAGCCACAGCCCAGACCTCAGGGGTCATCCTTGGCCTTCAGAGTTTCAGGGACCACTCTTCGCATGCCCTCTGCAAAAAGAAAGGAACTTATTGAGTGACATCATTGTGGCCCCAGACCTGGACACCGGTCATCTTGACAGAGCCTAGACTTTCCAAAAAATATGGAACTGTAGTGCCCATGACCCAAATGACCTACAAGAAGGAAGTGAGTTTTCCAAGCCTACGTGGGGCACTCAGGAGCACCACAGACCTGTCCTGGAGGGTGACTGAATCATTGTTCCCAAATGAGAAAGAGGAGCATGTGATAAGGCTGAGAGGACCACAAAGAGGCATCAGGGGTTGACCTGCCATTCTCTCCCTGGAGAACTCGCTCAGTGTGGGTTTCAGAGGACACTGCAGCCTCTCCTCCTGGCAGCAGCGAGGGGGAGGACACTGTGCAGGGTGAATGGTGTGTGGCCCCCTGAGCCCCACCTCTCTGTCCAGCTCTTCCCCTGCTCCGGTGCCCTGCCCCCTGTTTTATCCCTGGGACTCTTCCAGTGTGCAGCAGGTCTTCATGCAGTCGGGACAGCAGGACTTTAAGCAGTCCTCTATCGTGTTGAAGTTGTTTTTGTTCCCTTCACAGCCACTATAAACAAATGGCTTGCAGCACCCGGTCTTGGCACTGTAGAAGTACCTGGCTGTCTTGTTCTTGCAGGAACCAGCTAACTTAGGTTCCAGGCAGAAGGCAGGCTGAGAATCTGCTGGAATGAGAGGGGCAATGGCTCAGTTATAAGGATGGTCATCACTGCTCTGTAGAAGGCCAACAACTAGAACCTCCAATTTGTTTGGAATGGAGAATGTTAGGGTTGTGGGGGATGGTCAAATTGAAATGCGCATTTGAAAACCTCCTTTCCTTTCTGGGACAGAATTATGAAGGTGGCTAAGCATGATATGTTATAGTAATCATGTACAAATGTATATCTCCTCATGAAGTATTTTAAGAAAAATTGGTACAATGCCTTTGAATAGCCTTAAAACTTCTGAAAGACTTCCGAGGTGGTTCAGTGGTTAAGAATTCGCCTTCTAACGAAGGATTCATATCTTCAACCCCTTATAAAGAAATTAAAGTCCCAAATGCTGTAGGTACGGAGTCGACAGGCCATAACTACTGAGTCTGGGACCCACAAATAAGAACCAACCCACACAGACAAATACATAATTTATGTATTTGTATTTATGCTAAATTTATGCTAAAAAAGAAAAAAAAACCACCACAACAAAAAGAAGACATAGGTAAAAATTAATCCCTATATGTCAATAATTAATGGGCCTGGATAACAGAGTTTTATAAGATTATTAATATTCTCTCTACTTAAGTGTGTGATAAAAACTTTTCACCATTAATAACAATGGTGAAGGAATCATGTTATAATGGGAAAAGGCAAGAAGAAAACGTAACACTGTGTTTACTTCAGTTACCTCACAGGGATTCTATAAAATGAATATTGATACTAAATGATATTGTGATTCTGTGAAGAAATATACATATTTCTTTCTTCATCATTTTCCTGACACTGTTTCTAAAAATCTTGGTATTTCTTATATGATGAGAACAGTAAAGGTGTCTTTTGGTATGTGAAGTTGGTGAGTTTGGAAATACTCTCATAAGCCCATAATGGGCTCTGATATTGCACCAGAAAGGACTGCCTACAGGAGGGTGAAAACTTTCATTCCCACCCTTCCACATGGTCTTTCTTCCACAATCTCCTTGCCTTCCGTCAACCTCAAGGAGTTTAATGAAACTGTCTGTTGAACAATCAATCCCCAATGGCTAATGATTTAATGCATCATGACTAGGTAATGAAGCCTCCATAGAAACCTCAACAGAGCAAGACATTCATGTTATTCAAGAGACCTGGGATCCACCCAGGGAACGTGGATACGGATACACACATGAATACACACCCCATGTAGACCACTGCAGCAGCCTGCTCACTGGGGCGCTGTCTCTGTTCCTTGCCCCCTAGAGGACACTCTGTGCACTGCAGCCTCAGGGATTCTGTTATTATTCATTCAGTCCTATCCCACGGCTCCCTGGAGACCAATTCCTCAGTGAGTCCCCTTTTCTCTGATAGTGAAATTCTGATTCTTAAAAGAGTCCTGCAGGGCTCCTCGCGATCTGCTCCCATGACCTCTATGCCTCATCCGTTTCCACTTCTTTCCCCTCACCTAAACCAACTCAGCTCCAGCCACCCTGGTCCTGGCTCTTGCTCAAACACAGCATTATTATTATTAACGAGGAACCAGGCACATTACTTCTGCAGTTCTGCTCCGTACCTCCTTATCACAGAGGGTTTCCCTGACCCTTTAGAGAAAAAACACAGCATCCTTTCTCTGCTTCACTCTCTACGTTCAAGAAACTGATAGCCTACCGTAAGATTTCACCCTTTGCTATTTTTAAGTCTCCCTCCTAGAAGGCAGTTTATTTTGCCATATGTTTTTGACAGCTGTGTCCCCAAGAACACTGCTTTGTAGGGACTTCCTAACTCCTATTTTCATTCTCTCCACAAGTGCAAGGTCATCAAATAGAATGGGTATAATTGAATTCCTTTTAGTACAAAATCACCTTGATGATGGGGCACATCAACACAAGGTCAAGCTCCCTCTAACATTCACTCTGCTGAGAGAATAATAAAATAATGTGTCCTGGTGATCTTTAACCCCGAAACCTCTGAACCTAAATACTATGGATATTTATGGAAGTTTTCAATAAATAACCATATTGACTGAATTAGCCACTATTGCTGATTAATCATAAGTTTACAGCCTACACCTGAGGATTCCTGGGTTGCTTTCCCTGAGTGCTCTCATGACCTAGCAAAGAAAGCAAATGCCAAGAGTTTCAGGAGACCTGGGCAATGAACCAGGACAAGGGTCAAATATGGATCAAATATGAATAATAAACTCATAGTCAAAAGAGAACAAGGGAAAGGTCTGGAGACTATTCATATTGTCTCAGCCTTGATCCCATGAGCCAAACCATGCAAGCACTATGTTTCTTAAGCTCCTGCAGTTGCTGCTCAGTGGTCCCAGGTCTTTCTGATTATTCTAATAATAAAGGAGTAATCATTATTTGACACCTCAATGTGTTTTCTTGCTCAAAGGAAGTCAAAGGATAAAGTTCTTCAGATTAACACATTGGTGGATAATGGACAAAACTGGTCATGAAATATGAATAAATTCTTTATATTCATGACTGGGAATCTGTTCAGAGAACCCATGTAACATGTTTCCTCTGTTCAGATGAGGAAACTGCAGATGACTTACCCCAGGACACAGAGCATGTGGGTGGTAGGGTCAGGACAAGTAACTATGATGTCACAACCCATCTGCTACAACACCTGATTCTACCAGGAATTCTAAAAGTATAGTTTACTGGTAAGAGTTTCCAGCTTCCCAGGTGACTCAGATGGTAGAGAACCTGGCTGCAATGCAGGAGACCCAGGTTTGATCCTGGGTTGGAAAGATCCCTTGGCAAAGGGCATGGCAACCACTGCAGTATTCAGGCAGAGGAGCCTGTGGCCTTCAGTCCATGGGGTGGCAAAGAGTCGGACATAACTGTACAACTAACACTCCACTTTCACTGTAAGATTTTCTGGATGCAGTGTTCTACTTTCATTACTTCCCTGTCCCCAAGTCTCGTCTAAGTACCTAAATCACAGGAGAGAGTGAGCTCGTGTTTACCCTATCACCAAATATGTGGTGTCTCCACCAACATCAACCAGTTCCCCAGACACCCACTGGGCGTCCCCCAGTCAATTGATGTCTGATACGAAATCCGTGCAGTTAGTGCAGGTCCCACCCATTGAAGGATCATGACTGCCCTCACTTTAGTCCCAGCCACAGGGTCCCAACCAGCTTAGGCTTATGACCAAATGTCTAAAATGTAGAGGTCCAGAAAGTACAAATTTTTATTCTCCTCTTTGAATATATGTGTTGGGAACTCCTGTAGTGTATGGTTTTCAAGTTGCCTTAAGGAAAACATCTCCTCCCCTATGAAAAAGAGAAAATTTCAAGAGTTTCAGGAGGCCTGGTCCATGAAACAGGAAAAGGATCAACCATGGATAAGAAAATAAGGGTCAAAAAAGGACAAGGGAAAAGGCCTGAGACTTTAATAATGTTGTATCAGCCTTGGTCCCACAGCCTACCACACAAGGGCTGTTTCTTGCTTTTCTAGCAGTTGCTCTCCTCCATAGTTCAACATCTTTCAATTAGTTTTAATAACAGAGGAATAATCATTATTTGATAAAGAAATATTTTTACTTGGCCAAAGCAAGAAGGTAGAGAAATTTTTTTCAGATTAACACATCATGGTGGAAAATGGACAAATCTGGCCGTGACATATGAATAAACCATTTCTATTCAAGACTCGTCATCTGTTCAAATAACTCATGGAACATTTTTCCCCTGTTTAGATGAGGAAACTACAGGTGACTTGCCCCAGCACACAAGCATGTGAGTGGCCTGGTCAGGACAAGATACTGTCATGTCACAACCCATTTGATACATTATTGATTCTGCTAGGAACTCAAAAATACAGATAACTGGTAAGAGTTTCTGGGTGCAGTGTCCTACTTTCACTACTCACTTCTCCCCAAGCCTCACCTGAGCCCTCAAATCACAGAGGACAGTGAGTTTGGGTTTTTCCCTGACACCAAATATGTTGTTTCTCCACCCACACCATGCAGTTCCCAACACCAACCGGGCAGCCCTCTGTCCATTGACTTTTGATCCCATGTCTGTGGAGTTAGTGCCAATGCCACAGGTTGAGGGATGCAGACTGTCCTGACTTCAGATGCCAGCCACGTGGTCTCAAGTCACTTGTGATTCTGACCAACTGACTAAAAGTGAGAGTTTCTATGACCCCACTTCCATGCACAATACCTCGATCGAACCAGTGACCAAACTCAGAAAAATTTCTATTCACTGTTCTCAGATTAATATATAGGGTTAAATCTGAGAAAAAGTGAAATGGAGGAGATGTTTAGGGCAAAGTGGGATTGAAGGTGAGAGGTGCCTCCGTGCCCTGGTGAGCATAGCACCCTCACCTCACCACAATTTGTTCCCACCTCATAAGCTCTGTGAGCCAATATTTATGGACTTTTACTGAAGTTTCACTCAATAGGGATATTTATTGAATCCTCGATCAGTAGTAACTGATTTCAGTTTCAGTGCCATCCCCTCTCCCCACAGGTGCAGAAAGTTCAAACCTTCAAGGCATTTTTTGAATGTTTCAGCTGCTTTTCTTATCATCTTGCATGCCTTGCTGATAATTTTGGTACTTATGAAAGAAAAAAGTTCAAAAATTTGCAGGAGTCTTGGACTGTAAACCAAGATGAGGTTCAAATATGGATAATAAATTGATGCCAAAAGTGGACAAGGGAAGAGGCCTGGAGACTGCTAATATTGTATCAGCTTTGGTTCCATGAGCCAGCCACACAAGGGCTGTGTTTCATGCATTCCTTGAAGTTGCTCTACTAAGTGGTCCCAGGTCTTTCTAATTAATTTTTATTGGACAAGGATAATCACTGCGATGCACAAAGGTTCTTTCTCATCCCAAGCAAGTAGACAGAGAAATCTTTTCAAATGAACATATCCTGGTGGAAATTGACCAAAATTGGCCATGAAATGTGAATAAACTCTTTATATCTGTGGCTGGCAGTATGTTCAAAGAAATCAAGTGGCACATATCTGCTGTTCAGAAGAGGAAGCTGTAGATGACTTGCCGCAGGACACATGGCATGCGGGTGGCAGGGTCAGGACAAGATACTTCCCTGTTACAACCCATTTGTTACACTATCCTGTTCTGCCAGTAACTCTGAAAATACCAATAACTGCTGAGAGCTTCTGGGTTCAGTGTCCCACGTTCATTACTCACCTGTCCCCAGGACTCACCTGAGCTCCCAAAGCACAGGGAGAGTGAGTCTACATTTCCCTGACACCAAATATGTGGCATCTCTAGAAACAATATCCAATTCCCCAAACACCCACTAAGTGTCCAACAAGTCAATTTACTTCTGACATGAAATTGAGGGAGTTGGTACAGACTCTGCATGTTGAAGGCTAAATCTGTCCTCAGTTCAGATGCCAGCCATGTTGTCCTGAGTCATTCATGATTTGACAAAGTGGCTAAAACTGGGAAGTTCCAGTTATTGAAACTCCATGTTCAATAACTCAATAGATCTGATGACCAACTCAGGACAACCACTTACATGCTGATCTCACATTGTTATTGTTAAGGATAAATCTAAGGACAGTGGAGTAAGTGAGATGTACAGGGAAAAGTGGAAATGGATGTATGGGGAGCCTTCAAGCCCTAAAGAGCACAGGACCCTCATATCACCATCACGTGTTACCACCCCAAAATCTCTCAGAACGCCTGTATCTATGGATTTTTATTGCAGCTTCACTAAACAGACATATTGATTGAATCATTGTCCAGTGGTGGCTGTTCTCAGTCTCAGTGCCCTCTTTTCTCCCAAGAGATTCAGAAAGTTCAAACCTATAATCATATCGTCAACAACTTCTTTAATCACAGATGATACTACAAGCTTCTCAGGTCCCCTTGTAAGGCTTGTCTCCAGACCTATGAAAGACAGTAAATTCCAAGAGTTTCCAGAGATGTGGGATGTGAACTAAGACAAGGATCAAATATGGATCATAAAATAGTAGTCAACAGTGGACAAGGGAGGAGACACATATGAATAATAAAATAATAGTCAAAAGGGGACAAGGGGAAGGGCCTGGAGACTTTACTAACATTGCATCAACCTTGGTCCAAGGAGCCAATCCACACAGGGCTGTGATTCATTCTTTCCCTGCAGTGGCTCTGCTCATTCATCCCAGGTGTTTCTGGTTATTTTTATAATAGAAGAATAAAAATTATTTGATACCTAAATATTCTTTCTTGCCAAAAACAAGTAGGTAGAGAAATTGTTTTCAGATTAACACATCTTGTTGGAAAATGCACTAAATTCACCATGATATCTGATTCATCTCCCTTATATATATATATGACTGGTAATCTGTTCAAAAGCCCATGCAACATTATCTCCTGTTCCAATGAGAAAATTGCAGATGACCCGCCCCAGGCATGTGGGTGGTAGGGCCAGGACAAGATACTAGCATGTTACAACTCATCTGATACACTCCCTGATTCTCCCAGGAACTCTGAAAATATAGATGATTGAGAACAGTTTCTGGTTGCAATACGTACTTTCATTTCTCCCTTTTTCTGGAGCATCACCTGAGCCCCAAATCACAGGGGACAGTGAGTCTAGGTTTGTCTAGGTTTCCCTGACAGCAAATATGTGGTGTCTCTACCAACAGCAACCAATTCCCCAAACACCTACTGGGTGTCCAACAAGTCCATTTACTTCTAATTCCAATCCATGGAGTTACTGCAGATTCTGCAGGTTGGGGGCTCAAGACTGTCCTTAGTTTAGATGCCAGCCATGAGGTCCAGAGTCACTCATGCTTGTGACTAAATGGCTAAAAACAGGGCACCCGTGACCCCACCTTCACATTCAACAATTCAATAAAACCGGAGGCTGAACTTAGGAAAATCCTTACTTACTGTTCTCAGAAAAATATACAAAATAGAGCTCAAGACAGCAAAGGGAGGAGATGCGTAGGGCAGAGGGGGAGGGAGGTGTGCCCAGCCCCCAAGCACTAGTGGGCACAGCACTGTCACACCATCCTCCTGTGTTCACCCACCTGCAAGCTCTCTGAATGCCAACATTTCTGTATTTATTTCTAGGTTTCGCTAAACAAGCAAATTGGCTGGATAATCAGCCATGGGTGATTTTTCTCATTCTCTGTTCCCTCCCCTTAGCTCAGAGTGCTGGAATGAGAGGTGGTGAAAACTGTAACCTTTAAAGCAGTATTTGAGGTTTCTTAGAGACCAGCCCCATTCTTAAGGTACCCTGAGTCACCTTTAGTGACTCATCTCATAACCACTAAAATCAGTAAATTCCAAGAGTTTAGGAGGCCTGGGCCATATCATAAGAAGGATCAAATATGGATCTTTTTATTACTACACTACAGTGCGGTTCATGGACAAGGCAGGACCAGGAATAGATAGTCTCACAAATAGGGTCCCTGATCTGGTACAGTTAGGTGGGATTATTTATCTTTATATATATGAATTTTAATATATCTCCTCATGCACATCATAATGTCAGTGGAGTTAAAAGCTTGCAACTTCTGACTTCCCTGGTGGTTCAGCAGTTAAGAATCCATCTGCCAATTCAGGGGACATGGATTCGATCCCTAGTGTGAGGAAATTCCACGTTGCCTCAAGGGAACATGTGAACCGCAACTACTGAGTCCAGATGCCTAGAGTCCCTGCTCTGCAACGAGAAGCCACACAATAAGAAGGCCACACACGGCAACCATAGAGTAACCCTCGTGACTAGCGAATATCCTCACATGTCGAGGAACACCAAGGCAGCCAACACCAAACTAACAACAAAATCCTGCCCAACTTGACAGGAGAAATCCAGAGAGGGTTGGCAGCACCCACCCCACCACTGATCCCCACCCCCTAACCCTTCTACGGACTCTCCTAATTTCATGAGAACCTGTAGAGGAGAGGTGAGTCCAGACATACCTTGGTCCATGGAATGGTGTTCATACACCGGAGTGCCATCTACCAGGATAACCAGGAGGAAGAGAAGGGCTGCAGAGAGGCAGAGGCAGTTCATCTCCGTGGCCTTGCAGGAGGGCTCCTGAGGATGCTGGGGACGGACTGAGCTTTTCATATCCTGACTGAGGGGTGGGATCAGGCGATGAGGAGGAAAGTGAGGGAGGGGAGGAACTGGGTCAGTTCTGTTTATTGCATAATCTCCCTCCTAACCATGCCTCCTGCATCTTTCTGCAGGGGCCAAAAGTCCAGTAAGAGCAGAACTTAGACATGACTATGCCTGTGGGTCTCCTGTCAATACAGATCATGATTTCAATATGCTCACTCAGGGAGCGTCCTAGGACCTAGAGCACTGCATGGCACATGAGGGACAGTCAGGGAGTAGATGCAACAAATCACAGGACCTACAAGTGAATAGCAGTGTGTGAGCCCACATCCTCCTTTTCAGCCTCCGGCACGTATCATCTCACCTGGACCTCAATGCCCTGACCCCCTTACCTAGCTCAGAAGACAGGTGTGACACAGGTCACTTTCCTATAACTATTGTCACAGCTTCTCCACTGGGTGGACACTTACTCTCTACCAGACACTGGTTCAGGCAGGAACTTAGCTGGGGAAGTTGACGTCCTCCTGGCCTGTAACCCAGTGTGTTCACTTTGGTCACAGCATGAGCACAGAAATAATGGAATATTGAGGGAATATATTGATACTGTGACTTATGTAAGAAGTATTAATTCGATCTTCTTCCTATTCCTACGCTTCTTCCTTCCTTCTTCCTTCCTAACGCTGCTGAAGTTTCCTGAGAGATGAGAGAAACAAGGAGACTTTTGTCATGTGAAGGAGATGACTAGTAAATACTCAGCCTAAACCAAGAATAGAGTTGGTTGCCTGGGTAACCAAACTTGATTGGGGGAGTGGGAATTTTCATCTCCACCTTTCCTCTTTCCCTGCTCCCAGACCTCAGGGACGAGTGAGGGGTGGAGGGTGAATCCATCACAAATGCCTAAAGATTGAATGAATCGTGATTTGGGATGAAGTCTCACAAAAACCTTAACAGAGCAAGTCATACATGCTCTGCTGAGGAAACAATATCGACTCAAGGAACCACACGGGTACACACTGCCCCATGGCCCCCGGGGCCACTGCAGCACCTGCCCAGGGGCCTCTGTCTCTGCCCTTCGCCCCCTAGAGGCCACGCTCCACACTGCAGCCTCAGTAGGTCAGTTCAGTCAGTTTAGTCACTCACTCGTGGCAGACTCTTTGCGACCCCATGGACTGCAGCACGCCAGGCTTCCCTGTCCATCATCAACTCCCAGAGCCTACACAAACTCCACTGAGTCAGTGATGAGTTATTTCCGTTGAGTGAACGATGCCATCCAACAATCTCATCCTCTGTCCTCCCCTTCTCCTCACATCTTTAATCTTTCCCAGCATCATAGTAGTGAGAAGTGAAAGTCACTCACTCGTGTCCGACTCTTGCAACCCCATGGACTGTAGCCTGCCAGGCTCCTCTGTCCATGGGATATTGGAGTGGGTTGCCATTTCCTTCTCCAGAGGATCTTCCTGACCCAGGAATCAAACGCAAGTCTCCTGCATTGCAGGCAGATTCTTTACCGACTGAGCTATGAGGGAAGCTCCCAGAATCATGGTCTTTTCAAATGAGTCAGTTCTTCGTGTCAGGTGGCCAAAGTATTGGAGTTCAGCATCAGTCCTTCCAATGAATACTCAAGATTGATCTCCTTTCAGATGGACTGGTTGGATCTCCTTGCTGTCCAAAGACTCTCAAGAGTCTTCTCCAATACCACAGTTCAAAAGTATCAATTCTTCAGTGCTCAGCTTTCTTTACAGCTCAACTCTCACATCCTTACATGACTACTGGAAAAACCAAAGCTTTGACTAGATGGACCTTTGTTGGCAGCCTCAGGGATCCTCTTAAAATTTGAGTTCTATCACATGGCTCCCATAACCAGTCTCTCAGTGACTCCCCAGCTCTCTCAGAGTCAAATTCAAATTCTAATAAAGTCTTACAAGGTTCCTCATGACCTTCCCCCATGGCCTCTCTGCTTCATCTCCTTCCACTCCCCTCCCCTCACCCACTCAGCTCCAGCCACCCTGGTCTGGACTGCTGGGCAAATACACCAGGCTCATTTTTGGCAGCCTCTGCTCAAGGCCTTCTTACTACAGAGTGTTTCCCTGACCCTCTAAGCCTCATGAATCCCCATCACTCTCTTTCTTCACGTCACTCATCACCACCTGCCATAGAATTTTCCCATGTCTTCATTGTCTGTTGGTTTCAGAAGGCATATAATTTTACTATATTTTGTTTACAGCAGTTTTCTTAAACCAAGAAATATACCTTCTGGGATATTTCTGGGATATTGATGTTGAGAGAGAGAGAGGTTTCATCACCAAATAAACTAACATGAATTTTATTATATCCAGACTCTTCAATGACTGTGAACTTAGCTTGCGTATGACATGAGAGATTCATTTACTTGACAAATATTTATCAAATACGTCGGCTTTATGTCCCAGAAGGTATATCTTTTGCTGTACATATGTGTGTGCGTATATATATATATATATATATATATATATATATACGCACACATACAGAGAGAGAGAAAGAGAGAGAGCTTCCCTCATGTCTTCATGGTAAAGATTGCCAGCAATGCAGGAGACCTGGGTTCAATCCCTGGGTCAGGCAAATCCCCTCAAGAAGGGGATGGCTAACCACTCCACTATTCTTACCTGGAGAATTCCATGGACAGAAGAGCTGGTGGGCTACAGTTCATAGGGTCACAAAGATCAAACACAACTTAGCCATTAACACTTCCATTTTTTTTCACCTGTGTATACAATTATGAGTCTCCTCTATAAATGCATATCCTGGTAGGAAAATTAAATAATAGTCTGACAGGACAACAAAATGAGGTGCATTGAATTTTGATTTCTATCATACCAGCCTGGAAAGAACAGTCTTCACACCTTGAGCAAACCCTCAAAAGTACTGCATTTTCTGCTGTTCCTACACATGTCTCCAAAGACAAGAAGCCCAGCTTTCACTCAACATTCTGATTAATTTCATAACAGAGAAAAGATAATTATTTGACAGATAAATTTTTTAGAGGGATGGTGAGGAAATGTAGGTAGAAAAGTCTTTTGGACTAAAACATTTTGGTGGAAAGTGGACATCATTGTCCACGAATGTGGAAACTCTTTACACTCATGACTGGTAATTCTTTCAAAAAAACTCATATAACCTGGTCCCCATGTTCAGGAAATGAAACTGCAGATGACTTGCTCCAGGACAGAAAGCCTGTCAGTGGTAAGATCAGCACAATGCAGTGTTTATGAGTTGTAATTGAGGGTTAGATGCAGGTAATTTGATTGAATCTTTGGCCATGATGCCTGAACCCAGTATTAGTACCCTTTCCTGTCCCCAGAGGGACTGGGCTTGATAGTTCTAACCCTCTAATCACCTGGTGGCAGTCAGTGCAATCCAGTCCCATCCAGACACTATCTTAGGCCCCATCCTTCACTCATCTCCTGATTTTGATACAGGAAATACAAGTGTTTCAGGGGGCCTGGGGCATGGACAGAGACAGGGGTCAAATTTGGATTTTATTATGACACTACACTAGGATCAGGGTCCAGGCACTGACCAGGAATAAGGTCTCAGTTATGGGATCCCTGATCTGATAGAATCAGGTGGGATTTTGTTTTTTTCAAAGCTGAACACATTATGATACATTTTGAGAGTCAAGGATTGTCCCTGAAACGAAAACTGCTAAATTTACCAGAAGAAATGCAGAGAGATTTTGCTGTACCCACCCCACACCTGTACCTCAGCGCCTTCCATGGACCTCCCTCATCACTTGGCTCCAGCCTGTAGAAGAGAAGTGAGCTACGGCTTTCCCTGGGACCACTTCCTGGTTTCACCAGGTGCCAAGGAAGACAAGAAGGGCTAAGGAGAGGCAGAGCTGGCTCACCTTTGTGGCCTTGCAGGAGAGCCTCTTGGGAAAGCTGGGGGCTGACTGAGCTTTTTATACCCAAGCTGAGGGGTCAGAACAGCCAACAAAGAGGCAAGTGAGGAAGGGGTCGATCTGGGATCCATCTTGTACAATGTGTAAGATCCCCACCTCTCATGGTTCTGTTTCTGCCTGTTGGGGCCAAATGCCCAGTATCACTGATTCTCAAAGTTGCTTATGCCTGTGGGTCTCATGGGAAACACAGTTTATGATTCCAAAGGGGGAATTTTGTCCAATATGGTCACTCAGGGAGAATCCCAGCTCCTGGAGCACTGCATGGCGTGTGGTGGATGGTCAGTGAGTGGGTGAGAGCAAATCAAAGGTGGATCATTGATCAATGCTGTTGCCTCAGTGGCTGAATAATCTGCCTCCAATGCGGAGACCCAGGTTTGAACCCTGGGTTGGGAAGATCCCCAGGAGAAGGAAATGGCAACCCACTCTGGTATTCTCACCTGGAGAATCCCATGGACATAGGACCCTGGTGGGCTACAATACATGGGCTCAGCTTGCAAAGAGTCAGAAAGACTGAGTGGCTAAGCACAGCACATAGTTGATCAGTAATGTGTTAGCTCATATACACTTTTCAACTGAGTTAAATTCACCCATTCCAGTCCATTTTGGTTCACTGATTCCTAAAATGTTGATGTTCACTCTTGCCATCTCCTGTTTGACCACTTAGCAACCCCACGTCCAAGGAGTGGCAGCTGCGCTGGCACAGGAGGGCCGAGAGGAGCTACTCCACGTTCGAGGTCATGAGGGGTGGCCGTGAGGAGATACCCCTCGTCCAAGGTAAGGAGCAGCGGGTGCGCTTTGCTGGAGGAGCCATGAAGAGATACCCAACGTCCAAGGTAAGAGAAATCCAAGTAAAATGGTAGGTGTTGTGAGAGGGCATCAGAGGGCAGACAGACTGAAACCATAATCACAGAAAACTAGCCAATCTGATCACAGGACCACAGCCTTGTCTAACTCAATGAAACTAAGCCATGCCGTGTGGGGTCACCCAAGACAGCCGGGTCATGGTGGAGAGGTCTGACAGAATGTGGTCCACTGGAGAAGGGAATGGCAAACCACTTCAGTATTCTTGCCTTGTGAAC